ATAGTAGAGCCATTTAATCAATTATAAACCAGCCGCAACTAATTTTGTAAATACAAAATAAAAAATTAACATAGCTTATGCTGTTTGCGGCAAGTTTACAATTTATTTTTCACCCGAAAGTATAAATATATAGGTGGTCGATTTTCGTGTAAAAGATACATTGCAAACTTGCCGCAAACAGCATAAGTAATGTTAACTTTTTATTTTGTATCTATAAAATTAGTTGCGGCTGGTTTATAATTGATTAAATAGCTCTACTATAAGTAGTTAGTAGTCATAATCATTTGGATCCGCGCCATCTAGCGGTCGTGATTTTTTTGGCCAAAAATTGCTTCTGAAATTCTGAAGGAGAGCTTTAGGCAGTTTAGCCTTAGAGCCACTTAACTAGTTATAAACCAGCCGCAACTTACTTGATAGATATAAAATGAAAATTTAATAATGTTTGTGCTACTTGCGGCAAGTTTATAATTTATCTTTCACCCGAAATTATAAATATATAGGAAATCGATATTCGGATAAAAGATAAATTGTAAACTTGCCGCAAGCAGCACAAACAATATTAAATTTTTATTTTGTATCTACCACATAAGTTGCGGCTGGTTCATAACTAATTAAGTGGCTATAGAGCTAAACTGCCTAAAGCTCTCCTTCAGAATTTCAGAAGCAATTTTTGGCCAAAAAAATTACGACCGCTAGATAGTAGATTAGTAGACTTACAATAGAGCCATATAATCAATTATAAACCTGCCGCAACTAGTTTTACTAACACAAAATAACAAGTTGACATTGTCTGTGCTGTTTGCGGCAAGTTTACTATTTATTTTTTATCCAAAAATTGACCTCCAAAAGTATAGATATTCTTCTTATATGGTTTAATAAAATCGACCATATGGCACTACTTAGTACTCTTAGTAGCATAGAGATATAAGCTATATAGCTTTATGCTTAGTAACGATTACATTAATTACTACACATAACTTTACGTGTATATATATGTATCTTAACCAAATCTCTTTCCCATTTTTATGCAAATGTCGTGACCAGGCTTCCGTTTGAAAATAAATCAAAATGTCTCTATTCGCTCCGTGCCGATACAGAGATTGCGCCCCCTCTAGCCAAAATCAGGCAAAATTTCTTGCATGTAAACAAACGGTTTAGAACATGTATACATACGTACAGCTGCTTGTGATTGGCTGAATAAGACAGCAGGAGAGGATCGTCGTTCTCTTTCTAGCTTGCCAAGTGCCAATCACAAGCAGCTGTATGTATGTATATTTGTTCTAAACCGTTTGTTTACATGCAAGAAATTTTGCCTGATTTTTGCAAGAGATTTTGGCTAGAGGGGGCGCAACCTCTGCATCGGCTCGGAGCGAATAAATTACGGGCGGAGCAATCCCATACGGAAAAACTTTTGCGCAGTTGGCAACACTGCAAAGAGCAGACGGTGTGTTTACAACCACGTGTGATTTGAATTGTGTGTTGATCTTTCACGTGTTCGTGCTTCGGAGTTTTTTTTGATTGATCATTACTTAATTTAATCGCTGTGTCTATTCGCACCAAATCCACGTAATTACGTGGATATAAGGTTAGGAATTTTAAAGAAATTTAAGAAATTTAAGAAATTTAAGAATATAATGTTTGATGTTTAATTTTTATTAATTTAAAATTTTTTTGCTTAGACCATCTCAATCGCGCTTATATAATCGTGCGGGAATTTCGCCGCTTGACGGGAGCGAACTATTAGGGGCTTGGCCACCTGGCGAGTAGAGCCTGAAGCGCGAGAGATGTGAGACGCCACAGATATATACATATTTATTTATGTATCAGACAAGTAAAAATAAAAATTGTGCTTTCATACACACACATGTTCTCTTATAGGCACGCATAAGCTTACGCGGACACGTAATCTTCAAAAGACGTCAGGTTACAGATAAGTTGCTTACTTACAGCTACGTCAGCTTACGGGCACGTAAAATCTGAAAGCATCGATTAACTCTATGCTCAAGCTTACGCATACGTGACTTATAGGAACGTAAAAACTAAAAACATCCAATTCACTTTAATTTCCACGTAAGCTTAGGGTGAGATTACATGGAGTCTGGTAGTCTGCAGACTGGCAGAATCGCGCTAAGTTTAAATTATGTTTAAATTATAACATCTCAGAATAATTTAGTAAAATAAAGAAAAAATTGTAATTATTGTTATAACCGAATAAAGGCTTAGTTACAATCAATTTCATTAACAAAAAAACGTGTCAAATATTATTTTATAACTTTTTTTATAGATTTATGTTAACATCGCACAGTCGGTCAGTAGGGTCATTGATGTAACCTGGTATGTATAACAATATGTAACTGTGACAAAACGTTTTTCGTCGCCTTTTTTTTCGTAAATATTAGTTAATAAGTACAGAAATGCAAATGTATTACGATAATTATTTCTTTGCTTACGTAACAGGTTTTAAATATTAATATTGAAACATATTTTAAACTTAGCGCGATTCTGCCAGTCTGCAGACTGCCAGACTCCATGTAATCTCACCCTCAGAGCGCTTCAGCGCTGCAGCCAAACGCATGCGCGCTAACTCAAAACGAACGCTCGTGCACTCGGTGCACTCGTGCGCTCGTGCGTTTCGTCAGAGATTAGAAGTCTAGTCTACTCATCTCTGAGTCTAGTCTCTGGTTTCGTTTCCCTCCCGCTTCAGTAGACGCCCAGGCGAGAGCACTGGTGCGAACTTTACTTCACGTGGACATACTTCATTTGAAAAAGTAGCGTTTTTCTTTAAAATTCCTAACCTTATATCCACGTAATTACGTGGATTTGGTGCGAATAGACACAGCGTAATTTAATTCCATTTTTATTGTTAAGTAACAACTTCAAAATGCCAAAATCAAAGCGAGATAAGAAAAGTAAGATAACGAAATTTCGTGTGCAATTTACAACCGCGAAGTACATGTTGTACTTAACAATGAGGTTATGTTTTGTTGTTTACCATAATTAAAAATGTATTTATGTCTTTATTTTTGTAGTTTCGCTCACGAAAACGAGTAAAAAAGGATTAGAACTAAAACAGCACATCATAGAGGATGTTAGAGCCTGCATGGAAAGATATGAGCACGTAATTCTGTTCGGAGTGGAAAATATGCGCAATAACAAACTTAAAGATTTGAGGGAGAAATGGAATGGTAGTAGATTTTTTTTCGGCAAGAATACAATTATTGCCCTTGGTTTAGGAAAAAATAAAGAAACAGAAATTGAAAACGGCATTTCGGAGCTGACGTCACATCTACAAGGACAATGTGGTCTGTTTTTCACCAACGAAAGCAAAAAAAAGGTATGGCAAAGGGTTGATACTCCAGTCTTTACTGTCGAAAATAAATTTGCGATACGTTAAGAAAATTAAGGAATTACCACAATTTTCGAGTACATTATTGTAATTATGCCTTTTTCAGGTATTAAAGTGGATGGAAGAATTTGAAGACGAAGACTATGCACGCTCTGGATTTGTTGCCCAAGAAACAATTGAACTGCCTGCTGGACCTTTGTCAGATTTTTCACATAGTACAGAGCCATACTTAAGGCAATTGGGTATGCCTACATCTCTACAAAAAGGAGTGGTTACGTTGTTAAAAGATTATAAAATTTGTTCGAAAGGCCAAATATTGACTCCGGAACAGTGTCGAATATTAGTAAGTTTTTACTAAAAGATAACTATAAAAACCATAGCATATCGTTTATTGTTGCAATTTTTTCTAGAAACTTTTAGCCAAGCCATTAGCCAAATTTAAACTCACTCCCATAGGACACTTTACAAAAGGTAAAGGCTATACACATGTCGCTCCTCTATTAAATGGCAAAGAAACAAACAACGAAGAACAAGAAAATGAGGAACAAGAAGATATGGAAGAATAATATGAAGTGGTATTTTTGTTACAACTACTATTATTTTGTAAAAACGAATTTGTTAAGCTCGTGTAAGTTAAGGGTGATGCGTGTAAAGAGTATATTTCGAAATACTTTGAAAGAAATAACATTGTATAGGAACTGAATTTTTTTATTTATCAAAAGAATGTTGACACGTGTAAAAAAAAAAAAAGAACAAAGTTTAAGACTTATAACTATAACAAATCTTTCTACATTTTTTCAAGAAAAAACGTTACCGCTTTCTAAAAATCTCTATTATATGCTACTTGAAATTTAAAAGCTATAATAGTATTTTAGAAATCTATTTGACGCTTTTCTCATAGGATTATTGATTGCATTGTTCGATGCATGAAACGGCTATAGGTTCTCTTAAAACATTGCAATAATCCCAGCCAATAGATAACTGGAAATTTTTCACATCAATTTTAGAGAGAGAGGATTATTTTTTAGACAGATCACTGCTACAAGTGCCTTACTTTGATTTGAAGATCCAGTAAATAATGTTGTAGTAACTTTTTAGCGGGAATTATCTTTGGTGTAAAGATTTGTTAATTACTCTTTTTGGAGGCTGCAATACAATTTGTTTTTTAAATAAAAGATGAGTCACGTAGTTCTTACGATCGACAAGTTAGCACTGAACAGTTAACAAAAATTTTTTTTTTTTTTTTGCCTGATAATTACACATAATAAATGACATTAAGTCTAAGTTTACAATAATATTCTTTAAAGCATTATATTCTATTTTTTTTTCAAAAAATGCAAAATCTTACATTTTACATTAAATTAAGATAGACAGGGAAAGATACAACTAAAATAATCACAAAAAGTTTTCCCGATATTTAGTGAGCAAACGGCGTATTAAAATAAATACTAAAAAGGCACAAGTAAAAGAATAATTATCTAAAAATAATTATTTTAAATAAATTGTACTACAAGTCTCCCATGATTTACAAAAAATAACGTACGAGTATACAAAAGTGGTAACAAGTGGAAAAAAAAACATTTAACTAAGTACACTTATTAAAACTAACATATAAAATTTTTACACTAGCTATTTTGCCAGAGACCTTCTCGACAAGAAATATTATTTTGGAATGCGACCGCACGAAAACAAGCTAACGTTCACACTACAGAAGAGAGCTTTTCATAGTTATTGGCTTCCTGCTATAAACGTTATCTTTTGGCTATCGAGTTCGGAATTACAGCATTCTCAGTTTGCGCATTTATTTTATCACAATCATGAATTAATTCAAACAATTACATGAAACGCGAATAAAAACATACACGCTTGCTTCTATTCTGGATGTTATTTTTTTTTTTTTTTTTGTTTATAATACTTGCCTTTATTACTTATCACGATTGCCGAACTAAATATACAAACTATACCACAGGCAAAGAAACAGGTAAAAGGCAATTATTTCGCTAGTCGCTGTATCCATCTATCTACTATATGGCTACATCTGGAATACATTATTCAATCGTCTAGATTGACATCTTCTACATATATCCGACGTTTAAATATATACTTTTGAAGCGGTTTTGATATATATATATACATATATATATATATATATATATATATATATATATATATACACACACAAAAATACGTGTATAAACGACATACACGAGAGAGCTGAAAGTGTGTGCGCCGATGGGAGAGTATAAGGTGTCTCGCGTGGGAGAGAATCGAGGTAAATGAGATATGCACGGGCCTATATGTATACACATACATGACGCGTATATATAACCCT